CGGGCCGCACGGACGCACCCCGCTCCCACGTCATCCCGGACTCCTCTGCCACTCCCATGCCGCTGACGTTGCACAGGGCCTGAAGGCACACCTCCTCCAGGGCCTGCTTATCGGGGAAACGGAGCAGAATGGCGACGAGGCGAGGAACCGCTCCTCGACGGAGCAGCAGCTCCTGCAGCTTAGCTGGAGGAGACAGAGGGACGGACAGACGCAACAAAAAGCTGTTAAAACATCAGCACAGTGAAAGTTTATGTTACGACTATCAAGTTTCTTTTATAATACATGAATCTGGAAGAAAGCTGAAACCTTAAGCAGGACTGATTTTTTTAAAGATTTATTTTGGGGCTTTTTGTGCCTTTAATGGAGAGACAGGACAGTGGATAGAGTTGGAAATCAGGGAGACAGAGAGAGGGGAATGACATGCGGGAAAGGAGCCACAGGTTGGATTCGATGTTCATGTGTTTGTTCTCATCCAAAATCATTTGTATGGGTTAGCTTTACTTACAGCTGTCATAAGACATGCGTGAGATTGCTCTTGCAGCGTAGATTAGAACCTCTTGGTCTTGACTGGTCAGCACAGACAGAAGAGCAGTGCCCAAACCTGCATCGCCAAAACCTTTACGGATAACAGCTGACAGAAAACACACACAAAAACACTTCAATGAATGAACACAAAGCCTCACTGTACAACTTTTTCAGCACCAAGAAACCTCAGAAAGTCACAGGCTCACCTCTGTTACATCCTAAATTACAAAACAAATATTTAAAGATGATATAATAACGATAAATCAACATCTGTAAGTGTGAATTACTTACATTCCTTGGCGAGTTCAGCCACCAGTTTGGTCGTCAGTACTGTGAGGGGCCCCCTGGTCCTCAGAGAGAGGGCCAGGATGGGCAGGATGCCACTGATCACCACCTGCTCAGCGGCGCCTTTATCTGGACACATGTGGAATCACACATGTTCATAAAACAGCAATACAAATTCAAGATATTGATATTTATTCATCATTTTATTTATAAACAGTGAATCACATTTTAACAATAAATCCAGATATGTGGCCCTCTATTGGGCCTTTTAGGTACTGCGTGCAGACAGTGATTGTAGGTCATTTACTTAAATAAAATACTTAGTATATAATATAATTTTGAAGTAAAAATTAAAACATGAACTTATTTAGTTTTTTAACGAACTGCTTAGTGTATATGGATTGATTATTCATTTTTCATGCTGTACCGTTGGCACACTTTCACATATTCTGTTTTTTTTAAATCACAAACTTTTGTTTCGAGTGATTTGAGTTGTGTGAAAAGAGGAAAGGACGTTTTGGTATTTCAAATTAAAACATCGCAATGTAAGTTTGGGAGTGTCTGCTTTATAAGTTCAGAGTCAAAGAAACATTTGGTTCCTATATTACGCTTTATAAATCATTGAGCAGAACGATCCTGAATTGTATATTTAGTGTGATTCAGCCTTTGCTTTTTACAAGATCTCTCTCTTTAAACCTTCTTTACCCCTCCTGCCTCCTCCATTTCCCCCCCCCCGTTGCTCTCTCACTTGGAGACACAAATGCAGCTTAGCCGTCTACAGAGGACTTACCTCTGACACACACCTGATCCCTTCACAGCCTCCCAAGCTCAAGCCCCCGCCCCCCCACCCCTCTGGTTATACTGCAGGTTTTATCATTTAACATGGGGAGCTGTTTCAATATGCTGCAACAGGGTGTACTGTAGGAGGTCTGATGTCTTAAGGCACACTGGCATGGATACATAAATATTTAAATTGCATGTGGCAGCAGGGCTGTTAATTTGCAATTCAAATCACCACAAGTAAAAAGCAAAATATGACATAAAATATCACCCTGAAACATCTCATAACATAAATAAGAGGCTTTTAATGTTGTCTAGAAGGTTGTTATAGCTGTTGATTTAGGGATATATATTATTATCTATTATAGTATAGAAGGGTTGAAAGGAACTCACTCCTCTCCTTAATGTTTGTCAGCACTGTGTTCAGATGTGGTTTGAGTTCGTCCTCAATCAGTTCCAAACCAAGGACTCTGATGGCACCCAGCGCATTATTCAGGTTGTCTGTTTGAGAAATGTGGAAAAAACACAGAGATGTTAGGAGATGTACACTAGGGTACAAATAAACCCAGCAGGTTCGGATGCTTTATGTTCTCAGGAAGTGTGAAAATCCTTTTAGTTTGGTGAAAGACAAGTGTGGGGGTAAAATCTCAGTACAACATTATGAACAGAAGTATCAACTCTTCCAAGCCTACATTAAGTTAAATATTTTGATTAAATGTGGAAAGACCATTTACGCCAAGACTACTGTAAGTAAATAATCCGGATGTTAACCTATTATTCTTCCTAGTCCAGACCATAAAGATTGTATAAAACATGGACGTAGTCTCAGTGACAGCAGAATTTTGAAGCCCATCAATGGCGGTTGCCATATTAGAAATGTGGTGTCAAACTCACTTATCGATCCACCTGTTAACGGGCAAAGAGGTGGAGCTGTTTATTAATTAAATTAACTAATTGTTACCAAATTGCACAAAAAGAAAATGTTTTTGCAATTATTTGATCATTAACCACCGTATGAGAAATTAAATAGCTGCATCCTTATTTAGCTGTAAACGTGAAAACTTGAGGGGTACATGAATATCTGTCCAATATTTAGTGGCAGTCATTCAACGCTACACTCAAAACCAAAAAATCAGGGGATCATCAACATCCTGGTATGACAAATGTCTAAAATGTAGTGATATCCAGTTATTAAGTTACTTTAGTGTTACCCAAAGACTGACCAATGTACAGACAGCCTAATATTGCCATGTGTCCCCTTCAACCCTTAGTAACAATTTTACAAATAAATGATCTGGATCAATAACCCTGTCTTTCATTATTGGCTCTGGGACTCATTCCAGTTATTGAATAACATCTCCAGTGGATTTAATGAACTGATTTTATATTACAGCTGGATATGAGCTCCTGACCACAACAATATAATCCTGCCAACCTGCCATGCTCAGTGGAAGAGCTCGGGTCATCATCAAACTACCCAAATCTTTTGGGCTGTCCTTGACTCGGCCACTGGCACGTACTGATCATTTAGCCGAGGTCAATGTTTTATCAGCTTTTACTTAAGCCAATCGCGGCAAATTAACTTAAGGGAGACATTTAACAGGGAAGTTATCCCTGTAGTTGCCAATTTGCAACAAGTCATCTTAACCATCACGCAGAACCTATTTGAAAACTTATCTGCAGTACTTTGACAGACTTCAGCTTTTTTTCTTAGCCATTGTTGTCCATTCATTTCTGCAAGATACAAAAGTAACATAGAGGACTCTTCAAACCTGCCTATGTTGCTGATTTATTCCAGGTAAATGCATTTAACTTTATAGAAATCCAAACAATAAACTTGAACAGTGATTGCAACTCTGAGGTCTGCTGTAACGTACATATTGTACAGATTGTACTTGGAAACTTCCTGGAAACAGTAGGAAAAGAACGTTGAGGAATCTAAAACAATCAAGGATGCATTGAAAATATTTAGTAAGAATATCAGATTTTTTTTCCATATAAGAAATAAGAGTCTTGCTCCGGCTTAATTGTGTACAAATTAATTGCTCAAAGATCACAAGTTGAATCTCTTTGGCTGCTTTAAAAGTGTACAAAGGAAGCATTTTCCATTCATCAAAAAATGACTTCTAAGGTGCTTTCAAAACAAGACAGTTGACCCCTTGGCCTGTCGACTTAAGCTGCTCAGTGGCCGACAGTTTCCCCTTGTGAGGACGTGAGGAATCAGCAATACTTAAACCTAGTGGTTCTATGAATAATTAGAGGTACAACAACAACAACAATGATGTACAAATTGAATAATTCACACATTACAAGACACAGATTATAACTTAGTTCCACTTACCGTTAGGTTGGTAGGGTTCCAGTCGACTAGGTTTGTGTTTTTTCCTTTGGGGATGTGTGTAAGTGTATATGAGCGGCACATTTGGGTGTCCCATTCTGCCAGGTCCTACCGTCTCCAGACAGCTGGTGGTGAAACTTTGTCAGGGACACATCTTCATGCAAAACACACAGAATATCTCTCAACTCGCCCCAGATTTCTTGAGTCATTCGCCTTAGCTTTTCAAACTCCTTCTTCAACTTCACCTGCAAACCATTTTAAGTCACTACTGAATCCACGATCCATCCTGCACTGTGATTTTTTTTGTTGGCAAGAAAATTAACTGTTGTCTGTGTATGAACACGTCTCTCTAACGTGTGCTCCAGCTGGTTCTCTTGTCTCCTCTCAAGGGGTTAATAATCCTCTAAAGCTGTTTTCTCTCTCTCTCTCTCTCTCTCTCTCTCTCTCCATTGCACGTGATTATATGCGTGTGTGTAGTAAAGGTATTACTTCTTGGCTGACTCTGCTCAAATCACTAGAATGTTCCACGATTCACCTCTGAGAAAATCCCTATCAAAACAACAACACAGACAGGTGAGCATCTGGCACACGCTTTCTTAGAAATTGTATTATTAGAAAGCATTTCATCTAAATGCTAAATGTGGAGCAGTGTTTTATCTTTGTATTTTAAATGTAAATATCAATCTCAATGTCATCATCCTATTTTCACTTTGGGGCAACTTTTGCTCCAATTGTGTCACCTAGAACACGGGTTCCTATCTTTTAAGCCGCAATGGTTTTAAGCATTTGACGTTGCGCATAGCTGCACGCACTATCCAAACACCGGCATTAGAACGACAAAAACATGTGTCTTTGTGCATCATGTTCATTTTAGCCCAAACCTTACTGAGGGACTATGGCTTTATTTTAAATTGAACTTCAATTTTGTATATTAGTTCACAATAATCGGTAAAATTTGCTGTTTTAATTCATTTAAAGGTTTACTTGTTTTTTTAAAGGCATCTTGCCACCCCCCCCGCTTCGCTCACTTTGGGAACCACTGACCTAGAATACACAAAAACCGAGTCAAAGCAGTTTTTGAAAATTACTTTTTTATACTTTACTCAACTCACAAGGTTCAAGTAAAAACAGACTTCTGACAACAATGTAGTATGGAACAACGTTGAAATGGAAATCTATATGTGAATAAATACAACGAGAAAACACCAGCAAAAATAGAATCTAGACCTCTGATATAATCTATTCTACCTTATTGGCCTGTGTAGGAAAAGATTTTCTCAGTGTTTGAATTCATACAGACAACAGTGAGGATTTGTGTGCTGGCTAAAAACAGCATAGAAAAATATACTGATCCAGTAAGACGACATTCAACATGAAACCTGCTTCTAGAGAAAAAAGGGAGTTAGACATTGTGTGAGAAACTCTTGATTGCCTTCTTGCCAGGCTCACAGAGAGCATAGATACCACTCTTCTGTCTATACAGTAAAAACTGCAGCAGCTTGCTTTACTCAGCATACACTAGAAGACAGAAGAAAACATTTGAAACACTCTGAGGATTAAATCCAGACATCCTGTCACATCACAAGGCATGGATCACAGATTATAGAATTCTGCAAATACTGAGTGTTTCAGGTTGTCTGTGTGGCAAGTCTACATCTAGACACACAGCTGCACTTGTGTGTGTCTTGATGTACGTTACCTGCTGCTGTTGGCGTCATAAAATGAACTTAGAACAGCATTAAGTTAGCAAAGGCCTTCCTTTCTGTCTACCTTTAGCTTTCATTCCTTTGTCTAACTTGGTCTAGGTTACACCGTGTCCTTACAGCATGGGATCATCCATACGTCCCGTCACGTTCAGTTAGAACATGGTGACAGCAGCTCTGCTTTGTGTGGCGGCTTGTGTCTCTAGAGTCTCCTACTTGTTTGCTAACTAAGCTGCTTTGGAGGGAACTAACAAAATGTTGATGACAATCGTTAAACTTTAAGCTCATGTGAGAAACTTTTTGGGTTGTGTGGATTTTGGCGACCCCTGTGGACAATGAATCACTTATCGAGAATCTTGATAAAATCGGCTGTTTGGTCAGCATGCCGATAATCACCTCGTCTGACATCAACCACTGGAAGCTGTTTTAGACTTTACAAATAACTTTGTGTAAACAGTCAATCTTCTTCCCTTTTTTTTTTGCTTGTGTAGGTCCTGAAGAGGAATCTGTTTCCATTTTAGTCTATTTCATGACAATCTGAAAAACTCCTCAGTAGAGCTTTAACTGCAGTGTTTGCATGAGCTAAGACTTCAACACGATGAAAAATACTAAATGTTTGAGATGACCACATCGTGCTGAAACTCATCGTTTTTATTCTGCCATTACGAACGTGTATTAATCAGTGAAAATGTTTGATTGAAGGAAATGTAACTAACATACCTACACTAACTCTGAAGTGTATTTAGAAAAAAGTCAAACTCTTCCTATGATTAGCTCTAATGTGTAACATAGTACATTGACCCTGGACTCCTACAATTCTTTTTAAAAAAGAGTTATGACCGGCTGAGTTGTGTCCTTGATCCATCGCCGAGTGTCCCTTTAAATAGGACCATGTTTGGTTCATAGACCATTCATGTGTTTCAAACAGTTCCAGTTGTGTTGAGCCCAGTGGAGACGGCTTCATATCCAACAGAAACCAGAGTGAGGACATTACTCTCCACGTCGTCCGGCTTACACTGTTCTGTATGTGTTTCCACGACACCAGTAGATCCAGTTTCCTGTCGTATCTTCTTCCTGACTCGGCGTGCTTTACCTTTAGAGATGACCTTTCCCTGTTCTTTGACCCCTCCGGACACCTTGTGAGGCTTCTCACTGTCATTCAAACGGGTCTTGCGGTGTCGCCTGCGGATACGCCGCATCGGTGGACCCGAGTCGGCCGGGTCTGACGCTGCTGCGCCCGACAGGATCCGGATCTGCTGATCTATCACCATGACGACCATGTCCAGTGCCACGTCCAGCATTCCCAGGCCGAGGCCATGCGTGACGTTATCAAACGCACCGCTGTTCACGGGGTCCCTGAAACATTTCCTCATGTCCTCCAGGTGGTTTCTGAGAGAAAGAAGACAGTGGTTATTCCTCTGTTCGTGAAGACGACCATCTTAAAGTCATGTTCCTGCATTACTTACTTAGTTTCAATAATTTTAGACCAGTGTTGAACTGTATTTATCTCGGGAATGAGCTGTTTTGACATGTTGCCATAGTCAATGTAGTCATGAGCAAAATCCTTCAGATCATCGCACAGAGCTCCAGTGTCGCCTAAACACACAAACAACAAGCGCACAGTTAGGTTTTCTTTAATCTCTTGCACTCGCTTTTATTGAATCACATCAAAACACTGCATGACTCAGTCAACCTTCTGTGAGTTTGGAGAAAGACGAGGACACAGAGGTGGTCGTGCTCGGTGTCAGGCCGAGGACGCTGAGCGACTCCAGGAGAGTTTTCTTGCTGGCCGGGCCTCTGCTGACCCGAGTGTAGGCCGCCAGGGAGCGCAGGGACATCTTCTCCGGGGCCTGCAGCCGCCGTTTGATCTCATCGTACGAGATGAGGTACTTCCCTACAATGAGAGAAAGATCCAAACACATAGCTGTGATAGAGTTCAGTCGCATTTCATCAGGACTGAACATTGAATTTGCTTAAAAACAAAAAAAATCTGGGTCGGTTTTTATATTTAGGTTAAACTATGAACACTTTAGCATGTTTAAAAAATAGCAAAGAAAATACATATGCAACTGAAGAAATTGAAAACCTTAAAGTTCCCATCAAATCAAAATAGATGTTTAAGATGTTTTAATCAAATATGTAATGCACCAATGAACAAAAGGGTATTTTTTGGTCTTTTGTTTCCTTTGTTAAAATTAAAACTTTTGCTCAGTGTCCATATTTCTATAACAAAACTGACACTGAGATCAGTATGCTAATTTTGCATCCAACTGTGCCCTTTCTTTAATTGCTATATCATCCCCCCCCCCCCCGTGCAGCACTGGACCTCCTGTTTAGCAGGTTTTTATAGGTTGCTGCTGTCTGTCTTACATCCAACACTATTGGCTGCTACTGTAATTGCCACTCAGTTAAGGTCCATCCCAAGCTTCCTGGTTTCAAAGGATACATATCAATATGCAGATTTAATTGCACTCTGCTAACTGTTTCACGGGAACTTTAATGAACGTCTTATTGCTTTTTTTTTAGTAATACATTAAGATAAGACTTACTTGCTTTCGATCCTTTCATGTTCGGATCCAGGAGTGACGACACCTCCGCAAAAGGCATCTGAGTAGCCGACTCTGTAGTTGTGCTCGAGTTCGATGGAGGGTCCTGATTCTGAGACACATTCTCTATCTGTTCTGGGGCAGATACCTGCATCTGGGTGTGAATCTGGGGTGCATATGAGTCTGTATGGTTTGCATTTCCACCTGGTTGTGGTCCAGCTGTGAGTGTCCTTGCGCTTGCGGGAGGATCAGCGTGTTTTCAGATAAAGACTGAAGGCCCATGCTGCCCTGTGCCACACCTCCTGTTTGATCTGAAGACACCTGAAAGATGCCCATTACAGGTTTTACCACAGTGAAAACCATGTTCCCCTGGGCATCCAGACCCACCACCCTGGTAGATGGGTCCATACCTTGAGTTTAACTTTTACTTGTCCAGCTGAGGGAGGAGGCTCAGGAGGCTTTAATGATCAGATCAGGTTACCTCAGAGGCCCATGTAGTGTGACTGTATACTCCTCTTTTCTTAAACGGTTTTGCCTCGAGATGACCTGACAAAAGGGAGAACGTAAGCTGACTCCCCCTCTTTGCAGCGAAGGTAAAATGCCCCACACTGCCACTGTTAGAACAGCTCACTTTCTTTGTACAGGCTCATAATGAGTCAAGACAACAGCACAGAAGAAGTTTCATTCTGAAAGAAAGACAAAACATGGATAGTAAAAAGAGTTTAGCTTCACAAGTAGTCCTCTTAACACTTAAAGTAATTTAAACACGTTTAAAAATATATTAAATACATTATTTACAATATAATACAATTGCAAACAAAGTTATAAAAACATATTAAAAAGTCGTACAAATAAAGAAATTAAATATATTGAACCTAAAGTACAAAAAAAAAGAAATATAGCAGTACTACTGATCTCCCCTGAGAGTTACACTTGACTCATATAGCAAAGGTTATAACTGCATAGCAACACATGTAGGGAAATTAAGTTAATATATTCTATTAAAACATAAGATAAGATAGGATAATCCTTTATTTTATCCTATATTGTTACAGCAGCAAAGAGCAAAGATTGAAAACAAAAAGTGAACACAGTACAATTTAAATAAAAAAAGAAAAATTAAGAATGTAGAAAAAAAAATAGATATTAAAAAATAGAAAAAAATAAATACTGCTGCTGCAAAACATAAAGTTTCATTCTCTGGAGCAAAAGTTTGACTGTGCCACTCAGCCAGCAGACTAACAAATGTGCAAAAACATCAGTTTACACTAATGGGAAAAATCTCAAAGTAGTTACTGGCATAAATCCAAACTGGTTTCAAGGTTTTCTCAGAGTTTAAACACAATACAATGTGCTTCAACAGGCATATTTTAATGGTCTACTTTGCATATGCAGGCTTTAAATACAACGCCTTTCCTAATGTAGACATCTGTTGTGAATTAATAAAACTTATCCATCAGGGTTTCAGGGGGGAAAAGAAACACTAGATGAAGGTGTCAACAATCACCAGTGCTGTTTTCCTGCAGTTTGGACAACACGTAGACACACAATGTCACTCTACTTCATCTAAACCAAGTGTGAAGCGTCTGTTCAATTTAATAACTACACTGTAATCAACTTGTGGTTGATTTTCAAGTGTTGCATTGAAGTTGCTACAACAACTGTGATACAAATGTATCAACACTGCTGCTTTTATCGTTAACAAACATCCATCATGGCTGCCAGGAGCGACTGTTGCTGGGTTCTTCTGTGCCAGCAGGCCTGACGCCTTTTAAAAAATAAAAAAAAACAGACAAAACCCGACAGAGGACTGACTAAAACACACCGCTAACCTTGATTCAACTAGTGACGGCTGTCCCCTACTCACCGAATCGCCGTCAGATTTTTTTCCTAAAAGGACACTGATCCTAGAACGGTCCGCGTCGGGGACATCGACATTTTTCCTCCTTCGCCGCTGTTGCTTCGGCGGGTTGCAAATCAGCCGTACTTACACTACCGCCAGAGAGCTGTAATCCCTTCGCTCATTGGTCCATCGACGCGTCACTCAAGCAGGATGAGCGGTGGGTTGGTCAAGGAGGCTGGCTGTAGAGCAGAGGAGGCGGGATTTCCGGACCAGGCTTTCCCAAATACAGAGGGAGTGAAATATCGTCTTGTCTTATTTTCTTGGGATGTAGTTGGCCTTAAAGTTGTTTTTTTTATGAAGTGAAGTGTGGGCACACAAGAGAGTGAGGGCCTTTACAGTTTTATACTCAGGTATTTAAGGCAGAGAGTAAATTGATTGCCGGGTCCAATAATATATCTTGACTAACTTAACAAAAAGTAATTAAAGGATTTAACTCCAAATATGTATTCATGCTAATGCAATTTTTATAAGGATGAGTTTGAAACATCCTTAAAAAAACATTTGAGCCTGTAATACACTCAAAGTAGTCTGAACAAAATGAGTAAGAAAGATTAAATAAACAGAATTATTATAAATATAGTAATTGTTCACTATTATTGACAAACCCAACACAATTCTCGGTAGCAAATCGTGTTATATATTTTGTATTTTAATGTCTTACTTTTTACTTAATGTCATATTTCTGTAATTCTTGTGGATCTTTTTTTTTTATATTTATTTTCATAATTGATCTTGATTCTTAATGGTTTGTTCAAGTGATGTTAATGTTACTTTTTCATGTCTTGATGCTTTCAATGCAACAATTGCCTTGTTTCTGAAGTGTGCTATAAAGATAAACTTGCCATGCCTATTAAAATAATGAATCCCTCTTATATTTCTTTTTTAGCTGATATGTTGTCATTAGGGAGAAAGTCCACCAGAGGGCGTATTGTAGCTGTAGTGCTTAAAAGTGAATCATTTTATTACTGAAACGTGATCCCTGGACATCACTGAGTAAATATCAGAGATTTCATGGGAAGTTGCATGATTGGATTAGTTTTAGTTTTCAGAATGGGTCTCAAACTATGTTAACGTTAGTACTTTAAGCGTTCATTGATGTGTGTGCACAGATGCCAAACTGTGCAAAATCGATTCCTTTTATTTAAGCCCTGAAAAGCTTTTTTTTTTTACCGCCTGCTGGGCCCTGACTGAGGTTATTTATTTAACAGTGATGATTGTGTGTATGCACAGGAAAGGAGAGACACTTTCAGCTTATCTCCTTTGAATTTATTTGAGAACAAATAAAAAAAAAGTACAAAATAAAGCATAGAAAGTATCAATTATGAAAACAAAGCCAATAAAAACAAAATAAAATAAAAGGCAACAGTTAAATAAATCCTTAAAAATACAGCAAGCTAGTCTGAAAAAGCAATCTGTGGTACTCTACATCAACGCAAAAAGACATGACCATTAACAGTCACGTGTTGGTAGGAAAAGGCAGAGACCGGGGTGTGGGAGAAGAAAGCATTCAGTTTGAATCCATGGTTGCTTGACAGTCAAGACAATGGCGGATTTATGCTGAATTATTTGTGTGGGGTTTAACTGAAAAAACAAAAAATAAATTTGACAATAGGCCTTTTTTTCATATACAGTTTTTACACAGCCATTAGTGTAATATCCTCAGTGACATTCAAGGGGAAAGCTCTATCAGACAATTCCCCATAAACATCCCATATGAGCTTCTTTTTTCAGTTTCTCCCTCAGTAACAAACACTGAAAATGACCAAATTCACGGTAAAGCACAAACATTAGTACCATGTTGCATTCATGGGGGGGGGGGGGGGAACCATCCTGACTTAACGATAACATAGCTCTGAACGACAGCAAGCTAAAGTGGAAACACTTGACAGGACCCAAACACTGTACATCTAACAATCTTGCCTCTTGCTCAGTGTGCACAACAAAAGCAGAGAGAGAGAGAGAGACCTGTGTGGAGGTCTCAGTCTGTTTTCCTCTCTACCATTCTGCCTCACAGTCTTGCCTGATGTCAGCCACTGAGGGGGTTCACTGTTCATTTTAATGATGACGACTTTCCCGTGCAAGTTTGGCTGGCGTGGATGTTAAGTGCTGGTGTTGGGAGATAAAGGTGTGTAGTGGCTCAGTGTCTGCGTGTGCGCTGGCCCCCGGCGCCTGACGTGGTGATGTAGAGGAGGGGCTGTGGTTGACGCAGCTGAGGCCCTCGCTTCAGATTATTCATGTAGGCTGTGGAGGACTCTGCGTTTGAGCCTGAAAGCACGGGACAGGGGGGAAAAAAACAAACAAAGTTCAATAAAGCAATCTTTTAAAGAGGAAGGTGACTTATCCAAACAGGCAGTGACAGCTGTGTTTACCTGAATGCTGGCTGAAGTGGGGAGCCCTGACTTTGGCGAGGGGAGGGACCCCTCTGTACTGGGGGCGGAGCATGGGGGCCTGGGGAAGGGTGTTGTTGTGGAGATGGGGGTCTGATGTGCTGTCCAGAGGGCGAAACCTCTGAGCTGTGGTCGTCTTGGTTTGAGGCAGCTGGAAGTGAGACAAGGATACAATAACTCAAACAGGTGCTGCTACCAGTCCTGGTAAACCAAGTATCCATTGTTGAACTCACTACACATTGTTATATGATATACTATGACAAGTGTTGCATCACAACATGCTGCAAACACACAGCCCTGATCGATCTCTGGGCTCTGATGTCAGACTGCACGGTGACGTTCATGACAAACGGCATAATGAAAGTTTGATTTGATGACAAAAGAGCAGAACTGAAAATAGACATTAAGCAGTTCTTCTTTGTATCCTGTGTCAATAATAAGACATCTTTCAAAGAGGAATAAAAAGAAACGTGATAAGCTGATTTAGTACATTTTTGTAAAATACTCACCGCTTGCCCGGTGACCTCAAAGGAGCGTGAGCGCCTCTTCTTCCGACGAGCCTCAAAGTCCACATCCCGCGGCGTCTGGTTCTTGTTGCTGACCTGGCGGTTGCGCGGCCGTGTCCAGGTCACCTGAAGGCTGGACCCCTCCCCCGTGCTGCTGGACAGGTTGTCGTCGGAGGTGGCGTGCCTGAGCTCGGGGCTGGGCTGCCTGCCGCGCCGCATCGGTAGACCTGCGGGGGGAGCCTCGCTCAGAGAGAGGCTGCTCTTCTGCTTCTTGGGGTCCAGAGGAGAGGGGGGGAGGTGCAACCGTAAGGCATCCACCTCCAGGGCTTTGGAGCGCCTACGGGCCGCTTTCACAACAATGTTCTGGACCCCCTTTAGGATCTGCTGACGCTCTTTAGAGAAACAGAGAGATGTTTGATACCTTACTTTATTCACTCTCCTTACATACTTAGATGCAGGAGATGGTAATAAAGTTAATTAAAGAGCTACTTCAGAATAAAGAGGATACTCATAACCATTATGTTGCGGTTTAAGTTGATTATAGGAGAATAATCCAACGATTATTTTTTATAATTAACTGTTTTAGTCATTCCTCTTACCGTGTCTTGAAAGAGGGATTTCAGCCCCGGCCTCGCTGCTCTCGGGCGATGAGTCCAGGTGGCTGCTCACACTGTGGCTGAGGTGGCTGTAGCTCAGGGAGCCTTCAGGAGCCAATGGCTGCAGCTACAAACACACGATGCAGAGTGCTCAACAAATAGAATCAGACATTCACTTTTAGCCAGGCTCACATTTGAGCGTCATCGTTATCAACTTTGTATTTCGTTTTTTTTTTAGGCACCCAGATCGTTTCTTAATTCTGAGTCCTACTTGTGAATGGGGTGCAATTAGAGGGAAAATCTTCATCAAAAGGCATCGATGAAGATTTAATGATGCTCTTTTACACATTTGAACACTGAAAGCTGAGCTGAATACAGCAGCTGAGCGTTACTTTGAGTCTGGAGCTGCGTGAGTTGAAAATGAAACAGCTCTAACAAAGTGAAGTATCTGGTTGAGTCATACGGCTTGAAGCACCCGACTAGACTGCATTAGCTCACAGCATGAGGCCCCCCCCCCTCTCAGGAGTACGTTTTTGAAGCACAATGAACCAGGGGGAAAAAAAAGAGAGTCTATTAAAAATGTCCTCACCTCTCTGTTGCCCTTCCCGTTGATGTGAATCGGGGGCGGAGTCATCACAGCCGAGTTTTTCATCTGCCGGGCGTGAGGGCTGTTCTTAAACACCCTGTTGCTGTCCCTGCCACACACAGAGAGACAAAACATTGTATTATTTCTCTAAATGGATTCATATATAATGAGTATCACAAGTACAAGATGTCCTCTTACAGCTCCGGCTCAGGCAGAATGGGGGGTAAAGTGTGTCTGCGGGTTTTCGTTTGGCCTCGTCTGTTATCAGAGTACATGTTGCGCACGCTCTCCTGGTCCGAGTCCATGTCCTGTGTGTTATCACGACCCTGACCGGGCAGAGTGATCTTGGGTAGAGAGCCCTCCTGAAGAGCAGAGTGCTTATTAGGAATGATGTGTGGTAATATTCATACAGTTTCTGAATGTGTTTGGTCCTGCAGGGTTTACCTTGATGGTGTGTCTGGTGGTCACTTTGTCCAGGGCCATGGCTCGGTCCAGCTTCCTCTCCTCCAGCTCCCTCATGTACATATCATACAGCTCCTGCAGGTGTGGAGGCACTAACAGACTGTGATCTGCAACACAAACACATGCACACATACAAATCAGAAAACCAGAAACGCACTGTGCTTAAGGACTCATCATGTATGTCACTAACAACCCCCCCCCCCCCCCCCCCCCCCCCCGCTCCCACCCAGAGACCAAAAATCACATCTGCTCAACCTCACCATCAATGAACTGCCTCTGCTGCTGGATGATCTCGTCGCACAGGTGTCTGTGCTGCTCGAAGCGCTGCACCACAAAGTTTTTGTGCCTGATGACGTTGTCCTTGAGCAGCGCGTGAGACTGCATCTCTGCATTCTCAATCTCCAGCTCGTGCACTTTACAGAGGAGACCCAGCACCTCCCGCTGCTCCTCGGAGCTCACGCGCCGAGGGAGCAGCTCCTCGAGTCGCCGGGCACGATCCCGCAGCTCCAGGAACCTGCGCTCGAGCAACGCCTTTAGGTGAGAACAGCATGGTTTTAGTTTTAAAAAGTATAAAAACACCATGAAGAAAAAAACGTTGATGAAGAATCCTACCTTCTGTTTGTTGATTCTTTTTTGTTCAGCCATGAGGGTTACGAGGTTTTCTCGGGCCATCGCCACCTGCTGCGTCTCTGTGCTGTCCGGAGGAGACTCAGGGGAGTCCGAGTCCTTCTCGCTGTCGTCCTTGTTGACACTCTCCTTCCTCCTCTCAGCCCGCCACTTTCTCCTGCGCCTACTCTTCTCCTGCTCCCAGCTAGAAGAAGAAATACACAAAGACTTTAACTACCAGGATTATTTATAATAATACCTGTGTCTAATTAAGAGCGTGGTGCAGCTTTGCTTTAATCTATGTCTTCTATCAAATTGTTTATTTTTTGAAGTCAGTCAAACACACGGTAAGGTCAATTAGCAGACAATCTGAAGAACTGTTACTAAGATAATACACCTTAAACACTTCTTTAGATTTGACGCTGCTTAAGCTTTTGCTTGGATGGTATAATGAATCCTCTCAGACTCATTTGAGTTTCACAAACAAAGATGTTCATTTAAAAGCATCTTGTCAACAAACTGGATCATTGAGTGTTATCCAAAGGATTACAGATTACTGTGAGTGTGCTATCAGATCGGAGAGGAAAGATATATTTTAATGTAAACACTGACTCTGCAATGGTGAGCAGGTGTTTTGAGGTGTCGATCTGGATCTCCATGTTGCTGTTTTCCAGCTCCATCAGGCTCCTCCTGATCTCCATCTGTTGGCGGAAAGCATCCAGGAGCTGCTCCCGCAACTGGTCCATCTCCGCCCGGCTCTGCTGGCTGGAGTGAGCCTGGACCTCAGCTACCAGAGGAGAATAAAGGGAATATTAATTACAATAAAAAAGTAGAACATAAATACGAAGACGCGGCTTCATTTGGCAGATTCTTTTACGGGAGGAGGAGGTGTGGATGAGGGTTTACCCTGAACATGTCGGATGTCAGTGCGGTCAGAGTTGAGCTGGCGGCTCGCCTGATCCGCGATCTTCTGCTTGAGCCGCTGGATCTCGCTGCGCAGGTCTGAGATGATGTTTGTGTACTGAGCAATGTGGTACGACACATTTATCAGGTTCTTCTTCACCTGGAGCACAAAGTGAGGAGACGGAGAGAAGAATATCCAGATATTTGATATTTAAAAGCTGCTCCACAAAACCATCAAAAGAGTTTTGGATCTGCTTTCATTGACAACAAAGTCCAAACAATTTGTAGAATGAATCACACACAGTTTATTTTTTCTGATAAAGAAATATTTGCGGTTAAAGCTACAATAACAAAACAAAATGTAAATTCACTGCCATGTGCATATAATGTAATAAAATATCTCGTTTCATCATAATCTGTCTATTTCAGTTCTAAACAGAGACAGATAAGAGGATTTAAGATGAAGTGTGATCTGAGCTTACCCGTGTACGGATGCTTTTGGCACGGTCGGCATACGTCAGCGTGTTACGAGACTCCTCAAACGCCATAGAGGCGGGGCTAATGTGGGCGATCATGACCGTCCGGCTGTTCCCGCCTAACGAGTCCTGTCAGTCAAGGTCATTAGAGTGAAAATAGCGCATTAATAACACCTCATTTATAAAGTACAGTACGTTCATGCAGAGCCAGTATACACTCTGAAGTTGTTTCACCTTTAGTAGTCGAGTCAACTTGCTGTCCCGGTAGTTGACGTACTTGTTGCCGTTTTTTTCGCTCAGGGCATTGATGCAGTTTCCCAAAGCGAGGAGGGAGCGGTTGATGTGAGCCCCCTCTTTTAACCGCTGACCCCGATTCTGAGTCTGAACACAAAACAAACACAAGACATGAGTGAGAAAAGTAGTCAACAATAGACAGCTGAGACTGCAGAAGTAAGGAAATGTAGAGAACGGGAAGGGTTAGAACAAAATGTGTACAGCTCCTTTACAGACACTGCTGCAACTGAGCGACCAATCAGTGGAGAGCATCGCCGTCATCACAGCCTTCAGACCGGGAGCTAAAAAAGGAAAGAGTCCTCTTTCTATTTTCCTTGTTTATTCATTTGCTCAGCACTATTCTGCCCTTTTTTAGTTTGCCTCACTTTTGTTATTGTTTCACTGTTTTACTTTTTTGTGAATAAATAACTTTATTTAACCAAAAACTTCAGGTGTGATGTTACTCCTCCTTCCCTAATGAGCTGGGTCGTAACAAACACAAATGAATGCGCTTGGCTTATATTCCGTGGTAGTTGTCGAGTTTTCCATTTGTCCAGCAGATGGCGCTGCCCCCCCACCTTTTGGTCTATTGACATTAGTGTGAACTAAATCATCTTGAACAGACCCCCTTTCACTCCTCAAATGTCACCTGCTGCCTCTCCGTTGGCTCTGTGTTCTGCTGGATTCCTAACCGAGGCCATGCAGTATGTTTGCTGTTTATCAGTAGTTTGAGTGTGAAACCTTACAAACTGTCTCCGTGGTAAATAAATGCTCTCACTCATTGACTGCATGTTGCTCGTGTTCACGTGGTCGACAATGACAAAGCGCTTCACTTGACAGAGAGAAAAGACTGAACTGTCACAAGTTGCTGCAACAATCTGGACAAAGGCTTTTCAAAACACGCACTTGCCTGAACACTGAAGATGTTCAAAGTAATAAAAACAAACGTGCATACAGTGTTCTCTTTCTGTCTGTTGTACAGCCCTGCTGTTCTTCACATTAGTATTGACTAAGCCGGCGTGATACTGGAGACAATGTTCCAAACAGAGCGGCTAACAGCGTGTAACTGGCTCTGTTGTTGCACCATTTAATGGGTTATTATGAAACTGCTTTTTATCTTCATGCTTTTACCATTTGGAGTTCTTGTTTCTTAGTGAAGGGTTTGATGTTTGAAGCCCTTTATATTTCATGTTTTTTTTGATTGTCTTTCTTTTCATTGTTCCTTTCATGCTGGTCCGAAGCTCGTGAAAGGTGAAGCCAGCACAGTATCCGTACAAAAATGAAGTATTATAGAACTGTTTCTTATTCTGATTCGGTCTCTTCAAGAGATCAAGCTCAACATGTTTTAAGGTTCATTTTTGGGCTTTTAATGCCTTTTATTTTTTAGAGGTTCAAACCTGGGCCGCCCACCTGGAGGACCGTAGCCTCCGTATATTAGGCGTGCACACTAACCACTTCCCTACATGCGCCCCTCAACATGGTTTTTTTTGCATGTAAAACTCTTTCACTTGACAGGATACCAAAGCTGTCAAAAACAAGTGAAGGAGAGTAAGTCGTAGCATAGACACTCAAGTAAAGTGAAGCTACTCTTCTCCATGTCAGTGTCTCACCTTCGACCTCTCTTTAGTGAAGCTACAAAGAGTTGTGTTGCACAATGAGATGATCCTATTTACCAAAAGGTTGCTGTATTTCTTTAATAAGCTGCACAGTGTGCTATAATAGCAGATATAAAGAGGCTTTCATTAAAGTGTCGGCATGTTTATGAGAGCCTCAATCCTCCGGTCTGTTGTAAAGATTCTCTGCCAAGCATCCCCAGTGAGCCAGCAGCTGAGTGCAGACACACTCACAGAGCAGAGCATTGTATTTCTGAGTCTATTCATGTGTAGCGTTTGGGTAGAGGCTGAAAAAAACTGGCGTGGTTAGCCAAGTGTTTGAGCTTGAAGTTGAGTTTGTCAGAAAACTAGTTCAGTAGTGTCAAACTATCAATCAAACATCATTCCTGCCATTTGAAATACAGCAGAGCAGCTACACACACACACACACACACAAACACACCTGTGCTGCTCGCTCGGAGCCGGCGAGGTCGATCATGAAGAGGCGTGCGAAGCGGACCTCCTGCAGGACTTCTCGACACCGGCTCTGCTGCTTGACGGCCACCTGCAGCACGGCGTGGGAGCGAGATGACGTCTGATTGGCAGCTGTCGGCTCCTGAGTGCGCTGTTTATTGCCCCTCATGAGTAATTCCATGATCTAAAAAAAAAAAAAGTTTATGATATCACAATCATCTAATATTAAATTCTTTATATGCGATTTTTTTTGATCCAGCACATGTCGCATGAAACCAAAACGACTCGCGCTGCATTGTTGTGTTAGCATGCTAATGCTAGCGATCTTTATTATGCTCGTATCTTCACACTGCATGTAAATTTACCTGAAATGAGCGTGATCTAGAAACACAGTTAAGCAGTGAGTACAGTATGTTATTCTTCTTTTCTCTAGTCCCTCAATTAAACAACTTTTATACACAAGGGGAGGAGCCGGCCGGCCGTCGGGCGATGTAAACAAACTGAAGATAGGACTCGGAAAACTCATCACAGACAGTGGGACTCGGATTTTACACCCGTTGTAGACAGTCATGACTCACAGAGTTATTCTCAGAGGATATACTTGATTTATATTTATCTAAGTGTGAAAAATCGCATAAAAAGCCTTTAAACGAGAAATAAGTCTTTCCCGGTTAGGCAGCTTGTCTTACCTCTTGTGCATTGATGGTAGAAACTTCTGTGATGCCGGCAACCTGGATAACACCTTTGGAGTCTTCTCTCAGGTCCAAGAAACCAGACGACGGTTTAGCAAGTCCCTGATCATCTCGTTGTAGATCTAAAAGACACAGATATACATTTAAAAACACCAGAAAAAGCTTGTAAATAGAGTGGAAGCCGGACAGAAGCAACAATCCATGTATCTTCTTCGTATCCTAAAGTGTTGCCACTTGGGAAGTTGACATGAGCCAACTTGGAAACGCTTTATGAGCATTCAAAAGGCTCCATTCAGTTTTTTCAGGCCACCTACACAGGCCCGAACATGGTACAAAAACAAAGTTCTATATTTTCAGCAACCTGTCATTTAGAAACCACAGCTAGCTGGGTGGTGGCGGTCATCAGTAGGTGTAAGTGCTCCTCTTTCTCTAGAAGAAAACTCAGCAGTTTTGACTTAGACATAGAAGCTCAGAGCAGGAAGTGACACCTGGAAAAGTGACCACTGGACGACAAACCCACAGGGAGGTTTTGAGCCTTCATGACAGTTTTTTTTTTACTTTTCAAGCGGACTTCAGCCACAGACCCTGAAAAGGGAGGAAGCTTTTACAAACACTGACAGAGGGATATTTGTTTTTCCATTTTTACTCTTTCATGCGTGGAGAGAGTTTCAATGAGGCCTCTGTGTCCAAATATGCGTTCTAACAATCTCTATTTTGAGTGCAACAGTAGGTTCACTGACAATCATGGAAACATGTTTATTTCTCCACTGAACGGAAGAAGCTGTCACATGTTGCCATCATCACATTTCTGGTAAATGTGTACCAGCCCTGGTGCCCACCATACAGTCACACACTGATGGTCGAGGCTGCCACTTAATGTAACCATCAGTATCAGCTTATCCCATTCATATACATTCACACGCTGATGAAGCAACTTGGAGGTTAAGTGTCTTGCCCACATCAGACAGGTGACTGCAGGAGCTGAGAATCGAACCTCGACCTTCTGAGAGACGACGACTCCAGCTGTTAAGGTTATCGAACAGCAGAGAGACATTCCCATCATGGAAGGAGAAACAGTTGTAGCTCCTGTTCACTAGCGTCCATGAAGGCTAAATGTATTAGAGGTGTTTGTTTTATAAGTACAGTGCATTTCTGTTTGTGTGTCTGTGCGTGTGTTTAAAGAGACCGACACACATGAATGAGAGTTTTATTTGAAACAGCAAACGAGCAGATGTGCACCCATGGCTCAGTCAGGCTGTAAAATGGAGTTTAACCTCTTTGTGGCGAGGCGGCGGTGGCAACTGATTACTCCTTGGAAACAGCAAACACACACGTCACACACAGCCTGGTGTCGGGACTCTTCCTGAACGCAAGCCAGAGAGCTGCAGCGCTCTGTGATAGGCAATTTAATAAGAAAATGTTCCTCCCACCTACAGAGCCATTAAAGAGTAAGGCTTTAATGACATTGTCAATCACTGAACATAATTATAGGGTTGTGAAATGTAATTTTATCGTCTGATGTTAGCCCTTCTCTCTCTTTGTACCCTAAAAGTGTCTTTTTCAGTCGGAGATTGAATTAGCTTTCATAATAAGCCTTTTTTTTTTCAGGTTTTTCATCGATCGTCCGCCTCTTTCCTTCCCTCTTCATCTCTGTCTTCTATTTCTCTTCATTTCCGTCTCGTTTCCTCTCCTGACATGAAGTGCACTTTGAATAATTCTGACTCACTCCTCTTTATACTCACGCTGCAAAGTTTTTCAAAAGGAAGCTACGAGGGACCAAATGTTCCCCCTGAAATCATAAAACCATCCTGGATGTCGTTTCAAGGTTCATCTGATATTATTCCTGTATTCCAAAAACCAAGTGGCTCCTGGATGCAAGGCAACAATTGTAGATGGATTAACTATAAAAATATCTGAATCAGTATCGGTACATGTGTATCAGTTTGGAATTGAAAAAATTGGATCGGTGCATCTCTAGAAAAAACTGCTTCATCGATCCCTCTTACCCCACACTGACTGCAGCCAGCGCTTACATAACAGGTCAAAGACGCCAAATCATGAGCAACAAGAGGTGTTCGAGCAAAAGAACTGCCAGTTCAATATTGGTTCTTTAATAATATTATCATGACATCTCGTTTTAGACAAATATTTCCTAAAAATGTACTCTTCAAAGTTCCTGTGAGGAAGATTTGGTTTGTCTAGATTTGAATGCCCCCTGTGGCCAAAGCAGGCCCTCTGACCACTTTGCTGATTCTGTCCTTTACATGCATGAGTCATGTTTTAGGACAAAAACATCTCATCCTTAGGCAATTATTCACTTTTGTCCAACACTTACCCAGCAGTCTGGTGTGCTTTTCTTTTCTCTGAACGATACGTTACGATTAACTTCAGGGTGTCAAATAGACAGAGGAGGTCGATTATGTACAGCACAAAAGGTGACGTGAACTCATTGTGCTTTACATGAAACACAGGGATCAGCATCGGAGCCAAACACAAAGCCTTTAAAAAACACAGACATGCACGTGTGGAATCAACGTGTTCTGCAAAGTTCGCTTGTGTTTGAGGATGCCAGCAGAGCTCATTTCGGATGGAAACGAATGCGGGCAAAAGGAAAAGGACACCAGTCGTAATCTGCCTGCAATTGGCATCAGCTAACAACCTGAGATCTTATCGGTGTAAAGAGACGGCGGGCCAAATCAGAAGATCTAATTGAGATGCTGACAGATACACAGATAGAAAAAAGAACATTTAAAAGTGAAGAAATCAGACAAATGATCAAAGCGAGCAGTAACATAAATGGCGGCTAGCTTTGAAAGATGGGGTCATCACTGTTGCATTAACCAGATGTGTTTGGAGATACTAGTGTGAAGATAAAGTTGTAGATAAAACACCGACCTCGAGATAGGACATGGAGACGCTGTACGACATGTCGTCACTTGTCTCCTCGATGGCACGGAACAGGTCGTTTAGCGTCCTGACGTAGATGCCTGGCTCCTTGTCGGTCCCCAACATGGTGTAGGTCTTCCCACAACCTGAGAAAAGAAAAGGAAATTTAGCCAAAAATAATGTTGACTGCCTGTTGTGTTTAAAAAAAACATCAGGCTGGTTAAAGGGAGGAAAGTGAAATACCTCAACTACTCTTTGCACCTCACAGAGTGGTGTCATAACGACTTGTTTTGAGGCTCATCGTCCTATTAGCTGAAACTTGGATTAACATCTACATATATAAATCTCTAGAGTTTGGGTTGTCTTCAGCTGACCTAGAGATTGTATTCTCTGTTATTTAAAGACTGGAAGAGAAAGAAGAAAATAAGATCACTTTCTGGTTGTAAATATTAAATCTCCTGGGAAAAAAAAACAACTTTTTGCTATTTTTAATGCTAATGTACACAAGGAGTTAAAGATCGTAAACCTCAGGCTGCCCTATTTCTAAAACCAACAACCAAATGATAGCTAATTCTAAAGCTAAGAGCTAATTACATTCTGTGTTTGTAAAATTTAAATGTGCTATTTAAATTTGTTATTGGCTTTCCTTACAAAACTGACAAATAAAGACATAAACACACACACACACAAATACAAATACACGGTTTAAAGCCTGTGTTTACTTCCCCACTAGAGGAGGAGCCAATGAGCTGCGATTGTCTGAGACAGATGGACAGACAGAAGGCAGATGAAGTCAGCGAGACAGATGGGAAAGTGGACGGACAAGCAGCGTCCAACTAGTGCTTGACAATCTGTCACCGGCCACTTTTAACGAGGGAGGTGAAGCGTGACTCATTTATAATCACACCTGGACTTAAATTAGACAGCAAAGCAGATGAGAGTAAGATGTCTCACTGTTTTCCCAAAGTGTGCACATGACTCAGAAAGAGGCTAATGAGAGAGATAACACACACACACACACACACACACACACACACACACACTCTCACTCTCTTTCACCCACACAAACCTGTGGGTCCGTAGGCAAACACGGTGGCATTGTAGCCTGATATGAGGCCCTCGATCAGCTCTTTGGTTGTAGCTCGATACACTTCGTCCTGCGCAGGAAGGAGAAAAATACACTTTCAGAATTTGAGGGACCAACGACTTTTTAGGAAAACAAATGATTTCTTTTTTTTCTGACTGACCTGACTGACTAAGTAATCAAACGCAACGTCAAACATGTACGTCTTCTCCCGGGAGCGGTTGGCACGCAGGATGTCGTCAGGGTCCTCCATGGGGTCCATCAGAACCACCATCTGATGATGGGAGAGGAGGGAAAGAGGAAGCAGGGGAAGAGAGAATGACAATTAAAGAAGAATTACGACTTTTAGATTGACATATAAACAGCCAGTGAACTTTATTACATGATGCCTGTCATTTTCAAACAATGTGGTAGACTAAGCGAAACAGGAAATGAGCCCTTAATTCAGTGACGTATGATCAAGCCTGAAACTACGGAAAAGTAAGGGACCGAAAGAGAAGTATAAATGTTACTGGAATACAAAAAGACCCTCGTACTGATATTCCACTGACAAACTAGAACATGATACTTTCCCTCTGAGCTTCCTTTACATAATTTAGTATATTATTATATGTTTCACACACAGGGAAAAGGACAAACCCAAACTAAATTGGTGAAAAAACAGACCTCACAGCTGGAGAATCAGCTGTCAGAGATATCTAACACAAAAAGCAGATGGCTCTCCAGCTGCTGCAGAGGTTTTTTTTTTAATTAGTTTGATCATTGCAGGAAAAATCCAAACACAAGAAAAAGTTTTTGGTATCAGCTCAGAAAAATATGGAGTCAGTTATAAATGTGTTTGTTTTTATGTTTTTTCAGACCTGGTGGAATATGGATAATGTGTAATATATGTTGTTTGTGGTTTATGTGCTTCTATGTTTATTATGTGGACAGTTGTTTGTCTCTACTGCTCTTATTTATTGACTCTGAGGAGATAGATTTACGAGTGTAGCACGACGAAGTCAAACAGATATTTTCAGAAGTTTATACTTTAATGTATCGGTCTCTAAATACCTGTTTACAAGCGTTTACACAATTACTATGAATGCAGGTTACATGATCTGAATCAGGTTAGTGGGGCGACAAGTTCTGTTCATTCATCTTATCGCTCCAAGTACTTAATTAGATACTGTGACAAAACACTCGAGATCAGCCTCACTGCACACTTTTGTAATCTTATTTGTGTGTTTATTTCCCCACTAGAATAAAAGATACTTCCTGTGGGAGCACTGGGATGCATCATCAGTCATGTTTCCTGGGTTCATTGGGTGTTTTGGGGTGTATGGTGTATAAATTAAGTATGTGGCTGAAATCTTACTTTTACCAATTATTACTCAGTAAGCTGTCTGGGAAACACACAACTACCTTACAGCCCAAACATTAAATAGTGAATTCCACAGCGAAGAAAAACATGAAAAACAAGCGATTCTTTGCACAATTTTGGTAAAAACAAATGTATCAAATACATTTTCTACTTTCATGTTATGTTTTACCTTCCACAATCATCATCCATAAGCTTAAAAAAAAGGGAAAAGTCAATGAAAGATGACTCTTAAAGCGCACACCAGACTGTCCTTGAGAAAAAACAGCACCGGCACAATTCATGTTTGAATGCTAATGTGAATCTACACCAGCCATCCACCATACTGTAAACATTCCTTATAGAAAAGAGTGAGCGAACCAACAGCCCACAATTCAAGGACATTCACACTGTGGCATCTGGAGAGGAGACTAAGAAGAAGCATGTAGTGAAAACGTCTGAGCGGTTAAACTCTTTGTATGTGGAAACACTGAGGGCTGAGATGACAAAGCTTCCCTGACAATCATCGATAAATTACAGCTCTCTCAGAGGAACATTTCAGGGACAAATTTTGAACGGACTGACATCAGAGGAAAGTATTATAATTGTGTTGACAAATGGCTTAATCAGAGTGGGTGAAAGCGGCTTGACAGGCTGTCAATCGCTACAGGAAAATTAGTCACATAACAGAGTTGTGGGTTTACTTTTCCTTGCTAAGCATTTGACAGAAAATTACAAAAAAAAAAGTACAAAAAGAAACAAAACAGAAAAAGGAAAATGAGACAAATAAACATTCAATCCACGTCTTAAAACCAGTCCTACTTCTAGACAGAAACGGAGGGTTTGCAGATTGGTTACAGACTTCACAATTCCTTTTTGAGATAGTTCAAAACTTCCAAAAGTTTTTTTTTTCTTCCAATATTCTCAATTGGACAAGTTTAAGGCATTTATGTTTTTCAGTAAAACCATAACTTTTACTATGTAGTATTGAAAGTATCTAGAATACATACATAGAAAGTAAACTTACTGATAACATGACACTGATAGATACGGTATTGATTCTAGCTCAGATTAAAAAGCAATTTCTTCATCATCGTGATATGTGTGTGTATACATTCAACACATTACAAAATATTGCTTCCTTGCAAGGCTTCCTCTATTTAAGGCATGTCATATCATTATTTAAAAAATGAGTTTTTCTGTGTCAAGCAGGCCCAGGTTGATTTCCTCATTGAAAATGAAGCTCCAATCCGAAAAGAAAACGATTACTTGGCTGAATATGACAGAAAAAGTCTTTAGCAATGGCAAAATATCGCAAAGTTATGGCCTAAAATCAACACGTGGCTGACGGATGGGAGAACCCTGAGGTTTACATCAGATTGGACTCTACAGAAGCTTTGTTTTGGTTGTTCCAAGTTCCTCCGCTGATCAGCACCGTTCAGAGCTGTGCCTGGAGGGTCCTCTGAGGCCTGAAACACTGAAGCCCCCGGCTCGTTTGATGACCCCCTCAACCAGTGAGCCGCTCACTTTGAAGCCTCTCAATTGAAATTCAAGAGAGCAGAAAGGAGGGAGGGGGAAATAAGAGAGACTGCAGAGATACTGTTAATGCAACATGTTTGTTCTTTCGTGTTAATGTGTCTGTTTTTATAAGGATTTAATCTTTGCATGCATGTTGAAGACGAGGAGCGTAGTAGCGCAGCACTCGATGCACTTTTCTATGCGCACCCCCCCCCTCCCATCCTCTTAACTTCCTGCTTCTCCTCTAACCCTGCATGCCTTCCAGCTTCGGTGACGTGCGACTTCTGATCGCATTTCACAGGAAAGATATTGTGAACAACCGGTTCCTTCTCTTTCTATCAGCAGCACTTGAGGTCAGAGCCATTTAAACCACTTACACTCGGCCGTTCTATCGACCTTCAGCAACAAAAGGAGTCAGGAGAATCAGTTTGTCAAGAAGAAGCAAAGAGACAGAGTGATGTGCAAACCAATCCAAGAGTTTGTAGGCTCGCTCTGTCATCTGTGTTCTGCTATCGTCATTGTCACCTCTTACAGTGCATTTGAATTCATTTTTAAATGTCGGTATATATTTTGCTTTTATCCGTGTTATATGTGAACAAACTCCTTCAAGCTGTTCATCCCTTGGGCAAACATGGTCAGTGTATTGAGAAAACCTAAACAATGAGAAGCCTTTTAAATATATTGGTTAGACAAAAGCTCAAATTCACACCATGAAACACAAAGTTACCTTATCGTTCAAATTTCCCATATTGGATAAAAGGACAGGCTGGAGTAAGGTTTAGGTGTCTCCATTAATCTATCCAATTTAACTACAAACATACTAAAATGTTCTTGTATCTTTCAACCTTGTTAGCCACTGTTCTTCTAAATTCTGACACAAGTAAGGAACACAGCAACAAGTATACCAACAGAAGTAATGGTAAATAATGAAGACACAGAAACAAGCACTGAAAAGGTAGAGCTCAGGTTTTTGTTGATATGTTAAAAAAGGCTTTTATATCAGATTCTAGTTCTGTATCAACACAGCAGAGAGATCATGATATGTATATATGCCTAATAAATACATCTGGACCCACTATAATAAAGCAGTATGTGTCTTAACTGCTGCCTTATGACTGAACTAACAGAAGCCCTGATAGGAAGTATCAACCTTCATCTGTTAAGCAGAAACTGTTCTCTGAGCAGTTTGAGTAAAACTCTGTTACCACCTCGTGGTAATAACAGATAATCTACATGATGTCTAATATTGTGTTTCAGTGAAGCAGACATTTTTATTTCTGTGTTTTATTTGTCAGACTGTGTTAGTAATATGAAGCTATTGGATTACGGTTCAAGGTAAAGACGGTGTATGAACCTAGACGGCCATCAATTCAATATTTGATGTTGACTTTGTCCAAGGACTTCATACACATCAATACAAGCAGAGCTGGAATCAACAGAGAAGTAGAGACTTGTGATTTCTATATACCATCCAACTGTGCCTGTGAATCATGCAAAATGACTTGGCGGTGTTTTTCTTTTTATTAATATGTCAGTGTCATATAGGACAGTAATTTGATGTAGAAAATACTCTTTATGAAAGGCTAAACCAGATAGATAATTAAGTAAGTGTGAACATCACTTGCTGCTACAGTCATACTGTTTGCGTGTGTTAATTGTGTTCCTAAAGAAAGCTGATGAGCCTGCAACACTACTCTTACATAATTGCATGTACTGTATAGTAGGTATCAAATAGTGCATGCATCCATGCACGGTTTTGTTCGTGTGAATGCACTTGGGAAAATCATTAAGGCTCGGGGGTGTTGATAACACCTCTTGTCCCATCTGTCATCTGTGTTTCTTCAGTTACAGTATGAACGTCCACACCCAGCAGCTGCTGCTTGAGGAGATTCTCTACCTCTAATTTTCTTAAAGTCTCCTGATAAGACTGTACGCTGCTGGCTCTAATGACAGCACACCGTGTTGATGTCTGGGCATGAGCCTTGGCAAAGTGTTTGGATGCCAGTAATGGAGTACAGGTAAACCTCCTGACCCCACACTGTGCCAACATGGACTGTCCACTGTCTGTCTAAGTTAATTAAGAGTTCAGGTCAGTCTGAGCTGTAACGTGTTGATGTTTACTGTACAAAACAGGTCAAGGAGCATTTGGCAGTCTCATGGAAACCATTAAATCTCCCACACACCCTCTCTTCCAACAGTTGCGTGGAAACATATAGTCACATACATAGCAACTAAGAAAGCAGCGTTTCATGTCCTCTGCAACAAGTAAGTCTGTGCAGGCAGGGTGGCAGGAGGCATGACTGACCACACAAACTGAGGCCAGACTCCCACACAGCGTGCTGTGACAAAAGCATGAAAAACATTTAAGCAGCGACAACACTCTTGATCTATACGTATACGTCGATGATAGCATGGTT